CAATTAATCCTTATAACAATCCATTATACCCATTGCAGGTGAGGAAACCAGGACACAGACAGGTTAAGTACTTTGCCTGAAGTGATGGAACTACTTAATGGTGGAGCCAGGAATCACCCCAGGATTTGTTTCTCAGTTTATGTCTGTCCTCCCATTGGGCTGTAAGTACCAGGGGAGAAGGGCATTTGCAGGTTTTGTTCACTGCTGTGTCCCAGAATCCAGCATGGTGTCTGACACATAGTAGGTGCTCAATAAATAGCCGTTAGTGAATGAATAAGATTTCAAAGCCCTACCCCTGCTCCCAACCCTTGCCCTTTCTGGGAGGCTTGTGTAGATGTTATGCAATCCTCTATTAACTTGCACCAAGTCGGTGAATCAAGTGATGTCTGCTTGCAACAGACCCCAGCTACTCAAATTAAGGTGGTTTGAAGTATCAAAAAATCTCCTTACCTGGGCACACTCGGAGTTTGAGACAGAAGTGTCCTTCAGCCCACTAAGCTCGCTCTGCCAGTTGGCGGCAAACACGCTGTTGCAGGCGCTCCAGGACTGAGACCCAGTTTTGTTTGGTTTCTCATCGTTTCTTGGTGGAAGCCGCGCCCTCCTGTGCCATCTTGGCTGCGAGGGACACTTGGAGTTTTACAAACTTTCAAGAAGCACCGGGGCTGGGCTGGGTTCTGGAAGGAAGACCCTAGAGCAATTACCAGGAAATATTTTAAGAGGACCACAGCCCTGGGTCTCTGAATTTGAAAATAGAAAACAGGAAAAAGGGGAAAAGCAGGGGAGCCAAATATTAAAATATTTTTTGTAATAAGAAAAGGTAAAAGTTTATGATTTAACCAAAAGTGCACTATTTCCTAAGATTCAATTTACCATCTGCAACGTTGGCCCCTGGGCTGTCGCCTCTCGGGAGTGGGCCGGATCAGCGCTCCGGCAGCTGCACACCTTGAGTGTGTCTCAAGCTCACACTCCCCGCAGCGAGCGGGAGCCGGGGCTGCGCGCAAACTCCCCGAAACCGGCACCTGGAACTTCCCTCAGTTCCTCTCGGGAATCCCAGAGGGGCCGCAGTGAGCCGGCAGGGCTGGCGTCCCGCGCGTGCCCAACACCTCGGCCTGTCCAGACGCGGCGACTCTCCTGGCCTCTTCGAAAACCCGACGGGCGCGATCCGCGTGACAAGCTCTCCTCTTCTCCTCCACCCTCCGAACCACATTCTCCAAGCCAGGGTCTGCGCATCTTCCTTTCCGCGCCGGGCTGTGGCTCAGTCCAGGAGGCCTAGGAGAGGAGCAATTCCTCCCACTAGAGAGGTGGGGTGGAGGCTGGAAGGCCGGCAGTGCATTGAGGCCAAGCAGGTGGGTGCAGGCCTGGGGGCCCGTGACTTCCACGTTTGGCTCTACCAGGCTGCATCTGGGGTCCTATCCGCTCAGCTGCAAGTCACGGAAAGGCCTGTTGGAAAAGCTTAAGCCTGAGCATTAGGAAACTATCCGGTGTCTTCTTTGCGCTCGGCGGTGTGTGGACCCTGGACACTCAAAGATGAATAACACGCAGCCACCACCTTCGAGGAGCTCGATGGCTAGTGGACTGCGTGGGCTGCGACAGGGCGCCACACGAGGCTGGGGAAGAGGGCGTGAGATGGAGAGGGCATAGAGGGAGAGCATAGAAGGGGGTCTTAGCCCAGTTCGGGAATCAACGAAGGTCCTTCAGAGGAGGTGAAGCTTTGAAAGAGACCTGAGGTACGCATAGGAGTTGGGCGACAGGAGAGGGGAAGTGCTCCCTACAAAGGCCCAGAGCCAGAAGAGAGGAGGGCGCATCTTGGATCTTGCTGGGGCGCCAGGGGAGAGGGGGCGGGGCGAGAAGTGGATTGGGTCTTGACCTCCGAGGCCTCTCTCCTTCGTTCGACCGGAAAGCGACGGTTCGCTGACCGAGTCCATGTTGCTCAGTGATTCAGACACCAGGCTCAGGACCGCACGCGGCGGACCTTGAGTAACTGCGCTGCGTAAAGACGCGCGTACTGAGGCCGTGCGCGCAGATTCTGTAGGCAAACGCGGAAGCGGAAAAGCCACATCCCAGGGAGGTCTTAGGCCCTGGAGAGTGGCCTTCGGCCCAAGCTTCAGGCTGAGGATAAAGCAGGAGGCGCGTTTAGGCGACCTCTGTCTTAAGACCTGTTCCGGTGGTGACCAAAACTGCTGGTTCTCCCAGGAGCCACCTCTCCAGGACGTCTGCCCGGGAATCTAAGCCTGGCAGGGAGGCAGAGCTCAGAGGGACAAAGCAGCCCAGAAGAAGGTAGAGGCATGGGCTGGAGACAGCACCAAGCCAGGCCCAGCGTTAAGGAGTGTTGAATGAACCGGTGGCCAGCCAGCTCTGTGTAAGGGGCGTACGAGGCTGCGCCGTCCGCCTAGGAGACGCCGCGATGCCAGGCGGGGAGAGCGCGCCCCTCAACCCTGAGTTCCTTCGCAGCGCGGAGTTCAAGTCTCAAGGCCAAGATGAGCCGCAGGATGCTGGCTCCCGCCAGAGTCAGTGCAGCGTGACCCAAACAGCCTGGGGCTTCGGAACCCTGGGTGGTCAGGGGCGCCCTGCCCACAAACTGCCACGCCACCGTTGTGCGCCCTTTGTAATAATTCTCTCCGGACTCCTGGATTGCGAGCAGAGCTCTGAGCGCAAGATGTTTAAAGAGGAACGCGGACAAGAAGAGGAAGTGGAAATATGAGGACTGAAGGAGAGCCCGCGCCTGCCCCGAGTTGCCTCGGGACAAAAGGACTGAGTTGGCCTGGAGGCTGGAAAGAGAGAAGGGGTCTACGACCCCATGCCAGATTCCCTCCTAAAGCAGTTTTCAAGAGGTTGGTTTGCATTAACACAAACCTCTCTGTGGGTTTAGTGTCCCCTGAGGGTTCCTGAGTGAGATTTGGAGGGTCCCGCCGGACCCTATACCTCTCTGCAGATGTGAACATTTCTGTCATTCCTTCCGCAAACGGTCCAGATCGCCCCGTGGAACTCGAATGGCCTGGTCCTTGGACCTCGGATCCTTGGCGGGCTCTGAGCACAGCGCTAAGTCAGCAGGCTGGTCCAATCTGAGTTGGAGTTGCCAGCCACTCTTGGAAACACTCCCCGGACTGGGCTGGAAAGGGCTTCTACTTCCTGGTACCCTAAGCTAAATGAAACCTCTTGCCGAGAAAACAGGGGTAGAGGGCAGGTGGAGGCCGGGGCTGGGGCTGAGAGGAATGTGAAGACAGCACCTGCTCGCGAGCCCACGCAGAGGTGGCTCTCTGGGCGCGAGGTCTATGCTCAGGGAGGCCAGGTCTCGGACAAGAGCCTGAGTAAATCAAGAGCAGGCTTGAGGATCAGTCCTCCAGTGCAGTTTATCTGTATGGCAGGTTTCGATGGCTACAGTAGTCTCGTCGAGGGGCCCGCGTTTGGCTTCAGCACTATTTAATCCTCAGACGTGGCACCGCGTGGGGTGGGGAAAAAAAAAACAAACCAGGTAAGTGTTTCAAATTCTGTACACCCGGCGTCACCACTTTCCATTGGAGTCACTTTTGGCAAATCGCGTAGCCTTTCCCAGCCTCAGTTTCCTAATCTGTAAAATGGGCATAGTGCCCACCTCTCTGAAGAGCGCGCTGAGGATGAGAAATGCCACACGTCTTTCTAATTGTAGGAAGGAGAAGCAAAGCCTTCGCCTCAAACTTGACACAGTACCTGCTAAAGAAAGACCCTCTCTCCCTGCCTCCTCGTTCTCTGCTTACCTCCCCCACCCCCAACCGGTCCAAGCCCGAGGAGCAGCGCGCGTTTCTGGTCGGTGCTCCCGAGAGAGGCTGGTGCAAAAGCCAATAAGCCTGGAACACACGCAGGTCCTGCTGGGCCTGGGACAATGGTTTCCATTTAATAAATATTTCCCCCAAGGGCATTTCACATCGGGCAGGCAATTATTCAAAGGAAACAGGCGCGCAGGTTGGCTCCGCGGGTTATTTCGTCCTCTTTACCCGAAGAATGCTCATCTGACGCAAGAAACGAGTCTCGCTTTCTCGCTGGGTGGGAAGAGACGCCTGGGGACAAACCGACCCTGGGTGCGGATACAGCCTGAGACTACGCTCTAGGGCCGCTGCTGAAGGGGCAGCGGGGAAAACCACACGCCCCGCCGGGCGCTAGCCGGCCTTCAGATTGCCCTCCCGGTTTGGACAGATGTGGAAAGTTGGAGGTTTAAAAACACTAAATAATAGTAACATAAATAGGAATCGTGATGGAAATTCCATCCCCCGCCCCCTCTACGAAAGTGAACAGCGGGTCGCGGTGCTCTTCAAGGCTCACCAACCAGGGTTTGAAAACTCTGCACCTCTGGACGCAAGGCCCTCGGGCATCGGCTTGGAACGCGCGGCTGAGCTAGCCCGGGGCCCTGCGCTTCGCCCAAGGCGCAGCATCCCGGGGCAGGGTGGAGGCGGAGCCGCACCGGCGTCCCGTGAGAACGCAGCCAACGGACCGCCGAGGGCACGGCGCGAAAAGTTTATTTCAATTTTTAACCTGAGTTTGATACATTCTTTTTCTCTTGCAAGGATCTTTGACAAGTGGGGGAAAGTGCTGTCCTTGCATTTCGTGGCGAGGCTGTCCTATTTATCAACACGCTCTCTTGGCTTGCTCCCTCTGCTGCCCCCTCCCCGGGTCTTTGTATTCGAAGCCCCATTTCTCCTTTGCACAACCGGGAAAGGAAACGGGCAAGAAGAGTTTTATTTGTTGACAGTGCCAGAAACAAGGTGGAATCCAAGTCCCCGGTCCGGAGCTGGCCGCTCCGTTCTCTCGGTCTCTCCCTTACACCTCTCCCCGCCCCCAGCAGTCGCGCTCCCTCTTTCCAACGCGGGCGCGTTGGCAGGTGCGCCCCCTCGCCTTCTCTGCTGCTGATTGGCGCCCAGGTTGGGGAGTCGCCGCCCCGCGCTTATGTCAGAGTGCGTGCCGTCCTGGCCCACCTCGCCTTTGAACTTCGCCGCTTTTGGCTCTCGTTCACCAGCTTCCCCGCATTCTCAGCCTGGTGCTGCGCTAGGCGAGGCAGCTACGGGAAAGCCACGGGCGGGGGGGAGGGTGCCACGGCCGTAGACACTGGAGAGAAGAGAAGCAGAAAAGGCGAAGGTGGAGAGGGGAAGAAGGAGGAGCTTCCTGCCCTCGCCAGCAAATTACCTGGCCACTCAATCCCAGAGACTCCGGTACCTGGGCCCCAGCCTCTGGTGCCGGCAGCCCCCCGGCCGGCCTCCCTCTCCTCCCCCCGCCCTTCCTGCCCCCGCTCGCCCCCCGGGACCTGCCTAGGTGCCGAGACTGGCATGATCAGCTGAACTTTGCGGGGTGAGCGCTTCTCTCTGGCTTCCCCTCTGCGGTGCGGAGGCGAGGGGAGCGCAGAGCCCCGGCTCAGGACGGACAGACAGGCAGACCGACAACCGCGTCCAGGCTCACCTGCAGAGCCCCTGCACTGCCCACCCCCACCGCCTAGCCTCCCGGACCATGTCCAAACCTTCAGACCACATCAAGCGACCCATGAACGCCTTCATGGTATGGTCCCGAGGCCAGCGGCGCAAGATGGCCCAGGAAAACCCCAAGATGCACAACTCAGAGATCAGCAAACGCCTAGGCGCCGAATGGAAGCTTCTGTCCGAGGCAGAGAAGCGGCCGTACATTGACGAGGCCAAGAGGCTACGCGCCCAGCACATGAAGGAGCACCCTGACTACAAGTACCGGCCGCGGCGCAAGCCCAAGAACCTGCTCAAGAAGGACAGGTATGTCTTCCCCCTGCCCTACCTGGGCGACACGGACCCGCTCAAGGCGGCCGGCCTGCCCGTGGGGGCCTCCGACGGCCTCCTGAGCGCGCCCGAGAAAGCCCGGGCCTTCTTGCCGCCCGCCTCGGCGCCCTACTCCCTGCTGGACCCCGCGCAGTTTAGCTCGAGCGCCATCCAGAAGATGGGTGAAGTGCCCCACACCTTGGCCACCGGCGCGCTGCCCTACGCGTCCACCCTGGGCTACCAGAACGGCGCTTTCGGCAGCCTCAGCTGTCCCAGCCAGCACACGCACACGCACCCGTCCCCCACCAACCCGGGCTACGTGGTGCCCTGTAACTGTACCGCCTGGTCTGCCTCCACCCTGCAGCCCCCCGTCGCCTACATCCTCTTCCCGGGCATGACCAAGACTGGCATAGACCCTTATTCGTCAGCCCACGCCACGGCCATGTAACCCCCAACCCGGCCTACCAGACCTGGAGGGCGGCCTGGAATCGGGGTCTGCACCCCGTCCTCTGCGCCTATCCGGGGCCTGCAGATGCCTAGGGGTCAGTCCTGCTGCCACCCCCTACCCTACCCCAGACTCTGCCTCTCTCTCTCTTCCACGGGGATGGCAGGGGCATCCTCCCGGACCCAAGGCGCAGACAGGTGCCAGAAACTTGCGAACGGTTATGACAGCTGTACAGCTGCCCCTACCCCGACTGTCCCCAAACAAACCTCCGACTGCACCCCCTTTGGACAAAAAAGTAGGCAGTTTTGCTTTATTTATGTCCCCTTCTCTTGCCTCTGATGGGCTTTGGACTCCAGAACTCCCAGATCCTGGTATTATATCTAGAATATGCATATTTTTTTTCTTTTGCACCCTGAAGAAAGAGTTAGCTGTGTCTCTGTGTTTTGCCATCAGACACAACTAGGTGCCATTTGCTCTTCATGTGTGGGGGAAAAGGCTTAAAAGTTTAAAACCACAGAAAGGGAAACATTTCTATTTAAAATCATGCTATGATAGTGTTTGCTTCTTTAAAGGTAAAACAAAAGGACCCACATGGTTATTTACTTTGTATAAAGCAGTGCTCCTAGAGACCTAAGTTTACTTTTAGACAGAATGTCAGGTTATGAAGTCAGGAAGTAGAAAGTGAACAAAAATTAAAAGAATAAAAACATCCTAAATGGTCATAAATGTTTTGACAATGTCTTGGAAATGTATCTAGAAGGATTTCACCTCCTTACTCTGTTCATTTGTTGAACAAAGACGTTTTGAATAAAGACAATCTGTCATTGCAAAAAGTAACCTTTGACGTGCATAAAATCTGAAGTCGAGAGGCCGGGTCCGCGGGGACCGGGGTCTCTGGGAGGCTGAGCGTACATAGAGTGACTCCAGCAGTGGCGGCTGGCGGCTGGCCTGCATGGGCCGAGCCTGGTGTCCCGTGGGCCAGGTGCAGAGGGGCCCAGGGTCTAGGGTTTGTCCCGACCGCCCCCTCGGGATCCACTTTTTGCCTTTAGAGGCCAGACAAAGGTATCCATTCCTGGGACATCACTCCTTCCTTGAGTTTTTCACAAAGTGGTCAGACCACTTCGAGAAGCGATTGAACTAAGACAAAGGCCGACCCAGACTTCTGAGATCTGAGTGCATTTTCTTTTTTTTAACCAAACTCCAAAGGAATGGAAAGAAGCGCCGAGCCTACAGGGAAGCAGTTGCCCGCAGAGCACCTCGTCCTGCGGTGGGTGTTTAAGTTCAATGCTGGGGGAAGAGCGGTGGAATGGATATTTTTTTTAACAAGGTGTTTGAAAACGCTGTTGCTGGGTCTGCTGGGGTTGGGGGCTTGATACTCGTTTCTAAGTTCAAAAATAAAAGTCTAAGAAATGCTGTAGGTCCCCGCTCCAGACGGTGGGAGACTTTTTACTAAGACCCTGCAGGTTCAAAGGGAAAATGAAGGCGATGGTGACACAGCTCCTACAAGGAGTTTCTTAAAACATCATAAAAATTAAATAACTCCTAGCCCTTTGTGTTTATCCAACAAGGAAAAGAGCCTTTTTCTTATCCCCGGTGGTTGAATGTTGGCTTGAAGATTGCTCTGGCTTTCATGGGGAGAAAGGACCTTTTGATTGCTTTCAGAACAACTCTTTGGAACTTTTTCTCAAAATCGAAGGGTGCCCCCCATTGCTTGTCTCCCTGCCCCACTCTCACCGCCACAGCCGTGCTCACGCGTGTTTCTCCGTAGGTTGGGTGCCTTTCTCACTGGCTTTGATATGGTGCTGGGTGGGGGTGGCGGCAGCCGAGCGGCTTGTCTGCCTTCTGCTGCTGTTGAGGGATTTTTGCGCTTGCCTCTGCCATTTCCAAAGGAGTCGGTGGCCGCCAAGTGCACGGAAATGTGGTCAACAAAACACCAAAGCCGAAAACCACGGATTAGCATATTGTCCTCAAAACAATTAGAAGTGTTTGAGGTGTTATTTGGAGCCTATTCATCTGAGCCCCTTTGTCAAAGGGGGATTTTCATTATTAAAAAAAAAAAAAAGTTAGCAGTTGTCCATCTGGCTGAGCTGAATAGCAAAGTGATCCGTGTCCTATATGCTTTTCTCATTAAGAGCTCTTTGGAGACCGATGTTAGAATTAAATGGTATAACACAATTAACATACACGGGCGCTGAATAGGAGAGGACGCCTATAAATAATAGATAGATAAATAAATGAGCGATCAGGCGAAGGTAAACAAAGGCGGGCTGGGGGACTCGTGGGGGGAGGCCGGGCGGGCTGCGCCACGCTTACTTAGCATCACAAAACCCTCTTACAAATCAAAACAATTAGGAAGTGACTTGCCTCTGGTGGTCGTCCGGTCTGGGGGCTCCGGGCGCTTAGGGAAAGCCCCTCCTCCCGCCCCCTAGGAAGCCCAGGAGGCCCAGGGTGGAGGCTTCGCGGTTTCGCTGTCTGATATAACCCCAGCTGACAGTCCTGTCAACCGCTCTGATCTCCCTCATAGCTCAGTGTCCCTTAACATCTCTTAAGACGAAGCTTACAGGGGTCTGGGTGTCTCCCCGCAGAGCCCGGCGCACCAGCGCCCTGGGTACACAGAGTGCCCCAGCCCGAGGAGGAACCCCGCGCACGGCCCCACCCGGGCGCTCAGCAGACTTCCAGGCGGGGTTAGGCTGGGAAGGGGCACCAAGTGGGTCCGAGTATGGAAGGCTTCGGGCGGCAGCAGTTGGAAAACTGAAGCCAGGGTTCCAGATTGAGCCCGGCCCTGGGGACTCGGAACGGAGCTCCAGGAAACTGGGGTGCGCCGTGGCTGGGAGGCGCCGGTGCGCCGCGGCTGGGTCACTGAGATTTCTTTCCAGCCAGCAGGGAGCAGAGGGCCCAACGCAGGTCCCGGACTTAAAGCCGCAGACCTAGCTCGGGCAGCTTCTGCCAATCACACCTCTTCTCCGTACCTGGCAGCCGGGCTTGTGCAGCTGTCTGCGCTCCTTAGGCCCGGCCCCAGCTTCGGCCCCCGCAGGGACCTGCCTGAGCCCTGCCTCCCGCGCCCCGCGGGCCGCAGAGCCTCCGCCGAGGTGCGCAGCCGGGACTCGCCCCAACAAACAGCCCAAATCCTCCCCGTCACGCCGCTGACAGGGGCCGATTACGACTTTGAAGTCAGGCGCAGACAAAAAGAAATCCCCTGGGGTTGTGGGGGGGGCGGTGGGGAGCAGTCCCTGTCAAACCTGTTTGCTCACAACTGTCTCTTTCTTTCAAGAAAATCATTAAAGCAAACCTGTAGGGAGAACAGCGCCCCGCCCGCCCGGAGTCGAGGAGAGATGCTTCTCCCCAGCGCGCGACGCGCAGCAAAGAGCAACCAAGAGTTCCTTTGGCCAGACTGCGTGGTCGGGAGAAAGCGAGCTCCCTCGGCGCGCGGGGCGCCCGAGACCCTGCAGGAGGCGACTCCGCGGACCTCTCTGCGCTTGGCGCGCGTCCCTCGGCCCGGGAGTCCGGGATATCTCCTGCCCTCAACCTGGGCCTCCCTCGAGCAGGGGCTCCAGGGCAGGCCCCGACCTCTCGCCAGCGGGTGCGATTGCTTCCAGGGAACAACAACCAAAAAATACAAAAAAAAAATTGACCCAAAAGCAAGCCGCGCTCGCCCCCGCCTTTCCTCTACTGGGTGTTTTCCTAGGACCAAGGAGACCTGGCCAACACGCTGCTCGGGATGGCAGCGAGCGGCGCTGGCACGGCAGGGGCAGAGTTTGAATTCTAGGTTTTCATACTTAAACCTTGGCAGCCTTTTGGCTCAAGGGCACACTGGCCACATTCTTCTGGGAGATGTGGGATTGTTGGCCCCCTTCTGCTCCTGGCCTCTCCTGGAGAGCCTCTGCAGCCTTTCTTGCACTTCCCAAGTTTTGGATCCGACTCCAAACACCTTTGATTCCCTTCCAGTTTCCTAGTTTTCTCATTTAAATATCAATTTCCTTAGAACTGCTAACTTCATTGATGGGAAAGACCAGCTACTTAGAGTAAATCAGACTGAAGTGTGAGTGGCTGACTTCTGAGACCACCCCCCCTTAACATTTGCATTTTAAAGCAGGATCTAGATAACCTCCAGGAATCATTCCAATCATCTAAAGTGGGGTGATATTTCAGACAGGGTGGGGCCTAGAGGACTTTCATTACATCACACCATCTAGGGAAACCTCTCCAGCGCGGGCAGCTTCTCTGGAGAGATCCGAGACTGCCAGGGCCTGGAAAACTTGGCTAGCCGTGGCGCCAAGGACTGCCCTTGAGGACTCGACTCGTTTTTTTCGGCTCTTCCCCAGCTCAGGCCTTGTCACCATTGTTCAGGCGGACAATGAATTTCAAGTCATTTGAATTTGAATATCATGTAACTCACGAGATTCGTGTTGAGAACGCATCTTTATTCACTGAGCGCATTGTACCTGTGTATGAGTGTTAGAGAGGAACACAGACAGAGGCAGAAGGGGCCCATTAGATTGGGGTTCAGGAGATGCCGGGGCGGGTGCTTCCCGCCTCGGCCGAGGGCCACGCGCTTCTAGCCTCTGGCCCGGCCCTGGCCTCGGAGACCTCGCAGACCCAGGTGCCGGAGCGCTACTTGGGCTGGTTTCTTTCTTGGAGCTACTGGGATGAGCCTTGTCCTGGAACCAGAAGCGCTGGCGCAGGGCCGCTACAGAGTAATTAAGAAATAATAAAGTTGGGGGCGGGTGTGGGCCGCTAGAAATCCTAGGGCCTCCACACCGAACCAGAGACTAGGGGTCGCCGCCGTCCTAACCCAGGCTCTGTGCGCGCTTGGAGCCCGAAGCTTGGTAGTGTCCGCCCTGGCACTGGGAGGGGACTGAAGTAGAAAAGAGGGTGCTTCGGCAGCCCCTCCTCGTCCAGACCCCGGCCCTGCGTCCAGAGGAGCCATCTTCCGTGGACTCCTGGTCGGTCCCCGGGGCCCGGGTGTGGGACTTGTGCTCTCGGAAGCGGGAAGCGGGAAGGGCCCCGGGCCCCGGACGTTCTTGGGCAACCTCCCTAGGTTCTCCGTCCTCTTCGCTCGAATCTCTGCTCTGGTCATCCTCTCCGACCCCCAAAATGCCCGAAGAGTTTGCTCCGAGTTGGGGAAGGGAGCGGGTGCCTTGGCCGGATAGAGACCGAAAGGAGTCCACGGGTTTCCTCTTTGCTGCAAAGTGAAGGAGCGCTACTCTGGCAGTCAGTGGCCATTTCCAAACTTTTTCACTCTTGGGTTAGGAAAAGAAGCAATTCATTCGGGATGCCTGCCTTCGGGGCAGGCGCGGAAGGGACTTCAGAAAACTCTTTGAGTGTCGGCCGGACCGCACTCGGCCTTGGAGCTGGGAGCAGACGCAACACTAGACCCGACGGGTGCGTGCGGGACGATACACCGCACTAGGGCGCAGGTCCTCCTTCGGCCCCCAGGCACCGCCTGCCGCTCCCTGCCTCTCCGGGGTGCTTCAGGGCCCGGCCGCAGCTCGGAGTCCCGAGGTTCTGCCGGCGCTAGAGAGGCGGTGAGAAGGAAGGGAGGTGGGTATGAGGCGCGCTCTGGGTGCCTCGGGAGAGGTGGCACGGCGCATCCCCCTAGCTGGAGGAGGGCGGAGAGCCTTGAGTCCCGAGAGCCGCTTAGCGGATCCCTACTTCCTGCAGCCGGACCAAACCCCCGCGGGCTCTCCCGGCGCCCGGCCCGGGGACCGAGGGAGGAGAGAGGAGAGGGAGGGAGCCGGTGGCCGAGGCAAACGCCTCTAGTCCCCGTTCGCCCGGCACCCCCCGTGACGCGGCGAGTCAATGGGATTTGCACACTCGAGGT